ACATTAGACCTGAGCCTTGCTGGCTTAGTGGAAAATATGATGCTGGTTAAAGTATTGGAATTCAAGGGATGCATCAAAATTTGTATGGATGGATTCAGTTAATAAGTTGATAAGTATTCACCTCTTTTAGAGATGGAATACACATATGTTCCACAAGTGAATATAAATGAAATGAAGAGAAAGCTAGGTGTGAATTCGGACTTTATATATATATATGCGAATAAGTTTTTTCAAGAAGTGGAACGCATATGCGTTCCAATATCGGAGCAACCCGAAAACCGGAAATACGTCGAAAACAGAAACCGGAAATGACGATGAAATACGGAACCCGGAAGAAGAGAATATACAACAGATGCCCGGCATTCCCTCATCAGAGAGGCGTATAAAAGAATGAGCGGTTGAAAGTAAACATCAGGAGCAACTGAGGAAGCCTAATTATTAGGCGAAACGCGTCTTGCTATCCCAGAATGGACTATTTTTAATATCTCTATCCCATTGTGTGATTTTTCTAAGAGTTTTTATTTTATTTTTCTGTATTTTAAGTTCATTTGTATTTTATGTAAACCTTTTTTTTATTAAAAGAAGAATTACCTTTGACCTGAATGGTGATGGTCTCTTCTTCAGAATAACACCAAGGGACTCAGATACAGCTGCTGCACAGAAAGGGAGTGGGAACCCTCATAATTATTCCACAGGCGTTTGAATTGAGCCATTTTCCTTTGGCTCTCCTTTTGTGAGTACTGAATCATATATTATACATGAAACCACCTATGTACTCTATGATACTACACTAGGTTTTGTTACCTTTTTTTGTCGTTACAGTTCTCATTTATATTACATTTTATTTTGCATCAACGAACCAAGATACTCCACCTATTTGTATGTATTTATGTGCTTTGATTTTATGTGGATAGAGAGGTTGCCACATAGGTGTTTTTAAGTTACCAGGTTGTTGTCGGGGTCACTTGCTGAAACTCTGTATCTACATTACATTGTGTTTTGGCTAAATTAATTAAATACTGAAGAAAAAAAGCATAAAAATTGTGCAAGGATTGCAATACATTCAGCGAGAAAAATGTAATAAGTAAACAGAATTATATGCATTGGATAAAGTCACCATGAAATTACTGTTTGTGATTTAACAAAGACAGAGAGTAAATATGTCTCATGTTACAGAACCCAAGTAAAACATTACTGGAAGTAGAGTCACTCCACTAAAAGAGGTATCAGAAAATCCTATGAAGGAAATCACAATCACAATAAATATGAGGCAGATACCAACCCAACATACCATTCCAATATTAGCTTGGTTTTGGCTACTATTGCCACTATTTTGTACTTCCCTCTATTCTCTAGACCTGGAAAAAGTTAAAACCCATTTCTTTATGTAAACATGTTCATTTTATATTCCTTCATCAATCAGCCGCTGCCTTATCTTGCATAACGTGCCATCTCACTGTCTACTCCAGCCCAATAACATCTTATATTCTACAGATACTATTTGTCACATGATTCTTCTAAGATCTGCATTTAGATATGGCTTGTAAAGCTATATTACATCTTCCTTTCAATATTGTTATCTCTGTAATGTACAGACACTGTTACTTTACACAACGGAGTTGCTCTGTCTTGCAAGTACTACACACAAGTACACCACTGCATTCCAATAATAACACTATACACAAATACACCCCTACATGCACACACTACTCTATACAAAGACATGCTTACGTGTAACTGTATTATTGTTACTTTTTTCTCTCCTATAGATATCTGGAGCTGAAATTATTCTTCGTGGAGTCATAGAAATCCACTGGAATCCTAGTTCCCCATATTTCTACACAGTGTCCACATTTTTATTTTGTTATATATCATGAGCACCAAAGCCACTGCAAAGAAGCAGTGTGCGATGTAACTAGAGAGTGACTCATATCCTGATTAAGACAGATATTGGTTTGGACATTCTTTACAGGAATGTGAGAGTTATGAATCCTGGCGATTCATCCTGCACATTCTTTCTGCAGATAAAATCAGTACAAAAAATATTATGGTATTCAGTTGTTTTGTCAGTCTTATTGTAGATGCGTGATAAGTTAATAAATAGGGGATGAGCATGTTTTAAGACTGTCAACAAAACATGAACACGTAACATCGTAACAGATAGAGAAGGTATATTTTGAGAGGATGAGATAGGGGTCACAAAGCTTTGAGCTGACATAAGTATTTTAAAGGTGTCCATAAGCAATCCAAGAAGATGGCTCTACAAATTATTTTTGAAATCTCATAACTTGACTTAAAAGTGTAAGTGTAGACTGTCTTTGAATTTTTTTTCTTTTCTTATTATTATAAAAAGAACAATGGGGTAGTGGATGCATGGAATAGCCTTCCAGCTGAAGTGGTAGAGGTTAACACAGTAAAGGAGTTAAAGCATGCGTGGGATAGGCATAAGGCTATCCTAACTATAAGATAAGGCTAGGGACTAATGAAAGTATTTAGAAAATTGGGCAGACTAGATGGGCCGAATGGTTCTTATCTGCTGTCACATTCTATGTTTCTAATGGGGTTCTGGTTTGATTTACTTATATTCAGTAGTGTCGCTAGGGGATTGGGGGGGCAGAAGGGACCATTGAAATTGAAGTCGGGAGCACTTCAATTTCTCCCTTCACAAGCTACAGCAGCACTGTGACTGTGGAACTGTTTTCCAACCTTTCCCACATGTGGCCACGGGGGACACTGTGCTGGGAGGACTTCCTCCTGGGTCATAGAAAGCAGCACAGGGAGAGGAAGCCCAGCTCTGCACAGAAGCATCCAGGCAGTTGCTGGTAAGTGTGAGTCAGTGTGTGTGGTTCAGTCTGTGTGGGGTGTGGGGGGGCTCAGTCTGTATGGGTGTGGGGGGTTCAGTCTGTGTGCTGGGGATTAGTCTGTGTGTGGAGGTGGGGGGTTCAGTCTGTGTGTGGTAGGGAGGCTGGGTAGATTTAAATAAAAATAAAAATAGCAATTTGTGAGAAAATGTGTGTCTCAGTCAGAGAGTGTGTGCCTGTCACTGTATGTTTGTCAGAATGTGTGTATGTCTGTTAGTGTGTGTCTCAGTCAGAGACTGGGGCCGGAGCTAGCATATGGGGAGGCGATCTTCCATGCAAGGGCAGAGCTTGTGTGCCGGAGAAGCTGCTGCACAGTGACGGAATTTACGTAGAGTGGGCCCTGGTGCAAAAAATGTTTTGGGCCCCTGAAGACACATGCCCATCGGGGGGCCCTACGGTACTCAAGGCGACTAGGAAGCAGTGCCTATGGTACTGAAGGCGACTAGGAAGCAGCGATTGGCAGAGGCACCCAGTCGGGGTGCCAGGCGGTCCGTCACATACATGTTCAGGTGAGTGCAGCCCCCTGGTTTCATTGCTCTGTTCACGCAGTTGGAATTATATGGTTCGGGAACCAGAGACCACCCGGGAGCTTGTTAAGCCCATTTGATACTTTGTAGCAATTTCCACCGCAGTGTTCTAAGTGTACATCTAAATGGCCGCATTTCATAAGAACGACCACGAGGTGGTGGCCATCTTGTTCCCGCGAACGCAGGCAGCGGTGTTTAGGCGTGGAACTAAAATCGGACACAGAAACTCCTGAAAACCACTGGACTTCCATCATCTCCTTCGTTCGGTTCTACACCACTTAGAAAGGTACTATTCGGTGGAAACGTTCCCACACACAAGGGAAACAGGCTACACAAGTAATTTAAGTATTCCAATCGGTGTTTTATTTACTTTTGTGCTCCCGAAAAGAGAAAGACCGTTAGCCCTGATTCCCTGGAACTGTTTTGGGCATAGGACCATGTTCACGGTCGGTCAAATAATTGACTTCCATGAAAATCCCGAACCCCTGAACCGATCTGGGTGATTTTTGGATATATTGGTCACCCAGATCAGGGCTATCAGGGGATGTGACATTTGTGGGGTTTCCATTTGTCTTGGGGTTTGTTAAATTGTATGTTTTTGTACCTGCAATTTAATTATATGTTTGTGTGCTCAGGTGTCTTGCCTGTAATAAGGAAGGTGCAGCAGTATATATATATATATATATATATATATATATATGTATTAAGGCAGTTTTGCCTGTATTTGTGGGAGGGGCTTAAATTAATTCACTCCCCTATATAAGGGACACCCCTTACCTGACTCATATCGCTTGAGGTCAGCATGAGAATGATTTCCACTTCCGGGTCATCCAGACGCCATTTTACCTGATTACTCCATGAGGTTTTTTAAGCTGAGCGGTGTCAGGAATCCAGCCACAGGCTTTTCCGGCCTACCACCTTCTTTCTTCAATCTATCGCTGTGGATGGTGTCCAAGTGACTCACAAACCGTAAGTTGACCTACCCATTACGCCAGGCATCAGTCCCACGGCACCATGCAAGGGTCAGGTCCTCACTTTACTGCTGCATTTTGTCTAAGTCTGTTCTAAAACCATTGCATGTTCATGCATATCATTCGTTTAAACCCCCTACTGGTCTTTGGGTGTACTACAGACTTCTTAGACATTATCGCATTTCATGTACAAACCAACGAACCACTGCATCTTTGCCTACACACTGACCCCTACCGGTCATTCGGTGTACTACAGGCTTCTCAGACATTATTGCATTTCATGTACAAACCAACGAACCACCGCATTTTTCACCTACACACTGACCCCTATTGGTCATTTGGTGTACTACAGGCTTCTTAGGCGTTGTTTGCATTTTCATGTACAAACCAATAAACCACTGCATTTACACCTACACACTGACCCCTACTGGTCTTTCGGTGGACTACAGGCTTCTTAGACATTATCGCATTTCATGTACAAATCAACGAACCACTGCATTTGCGCCTACACACTGACCCCTACCGGTCATTCTGTGTACTACAGGCTTCTCCGACATTATTGCATTTCAGGTACAAACCAACAAACCACTTAATTTTTCACCTACACACTGACCCCTATCAGTCATTCGGTGTACTACAGGCTTCTTAGACATTATTGCTTTTCATGTACAAAACAATAAACCACTGCATTTTCACCTACACACTGACACCTACCAGTCATTCTGTGTACTACAGGCTTCTCAGAAATTATTGCATTTTATGTACAAACCAACAAACCACTGCATTTTTCACCTACATACTGACCCCTATCAGTCATTCGGTGTACTACAGGCTTCTTAGACATTATTGCTTTTCGTGTACAAAACAATAAACCACTGCATTTTTACCTACACACTTACACCTACCGGTCATTCAGTGTACTACAGGCTTCTCAGACATTATTGCATTTCATGTACAAACCAACGAACCACGGCATTTTCGCCTACATGTTGACCCCTACCGGTCAATCGGTATACTACAGTCTTCTCAGACTTTATTTCACTTCATAAGCAAACAAACTAACTACAGCATTTTCGCTTTTATACTGACTCCTATCTGTCATACGGTAGGATTAACCCCTTAGGGACACATGACATGTGTGACATATCATGATTCCCTTTTATTCCAGAAGTTTGGTCCTTAAGGGGTTAAAGGGTATTTTTACCATACAATCAGCATTTATGACCCCTACTGGTCAACAGCAAAACTGTCTTCACATGTCATATACAATTTACCAGCCAATATAAATTACACATAAGATTGTTTTAACCCCTTAAGGACACAAGACATGTGTGACGTGTCATGATTCCCTTTTATTCCAGAAGTTTGGTCCTTACGGGGTTAAACATAACCATAAACCAGAAATGAAACTCCAGCACGGGCTCAAATTCAGGTTTAATTCACAATAATTTACATTTCACATCAAGACCAACAGTGGTTCTATCAACACTGCCACCTACAGGTCTGTCAAGTACATTGACAATTTTCATGGGGTTTTACAAACACCAAAACACTTACACCTATAGGTCAACAGACAAACAACATTTCACATACCAATCAGTATCCAACTACACTGCCACCTATAGGGCACTCGGCAGATCTCCAGTGCACTTGCATTTTGCAACACCATGTTCACTGACCCCTACCATTCAATAAGACATACAACAATTCACATAGCAAGCACTATATCAACATCAGGTATAAATACATATATTATTACACAGTAGCAGACGCGTCTGTATATACGTAACTGGTAATATAGTTCACATACATTTTTCACAGCACGCTGCTCACGCAACAGACTTTCCCCTAGCAAGGGGACATACAACATACAAGGTGGGGACAGACCACATTTTCACTTGTACATACGGCACTTAATGGGTTAAGATTGATACATATTTAACTAGTATGGCTACGATGTTTAATATTTACACATCATGGCACTTTACTTTTCACATATACTGTACGTATTAAGATAAGCTTGGTCTATGTCATATTTCCTTATGCCATACGGTTTTATCCATTCAGGTTACAGTTACTACTAAAAAACCTATACGGATTGTCAGGTTCAATACCATACTACCAGGTACATACACCTGCTCACGTAGTTATCCATCTCTTACCTTCCCTGGAATAGTAATAGTGTACTGGCAATTAGGGTTCTAGGGCCCAATAGGTATTACCCCCTTTTTTCTCTGCATTATGCTTCGGTTAGTGGTCCCGCGAGGCCAACACCCCGCCTCACACTCGGAGGCATACACCCCTCGGGCCACTCGTGAGCTAGCCGCCTCGCATTGTATCATAGAGAGGGCCTCACCTGTCACTCCCCTTCCTATTTTCTGGTTACTGTCACCGAGAGGCCAACATCCTGCCACAATGTTCGGTGGCCACACAAAATCCCCTCGCGCCAAGCATAGATAGAGCCTCTCAAGCCACTTGGCAACTAGCAGGGCCTCACCAGTCACCAAAAACACCAAGCCTAATCGTTTCGCCTTACGGCTTAGCTAGCAAGCCAGTACAAGAACCCTGGGTACAAATAATTGCATCTTTATTGTTATTTAAGTATTTCTCCAAAAGATGGTGAAGAATCACCTCTTCCTAGCACCCCGGCTAGAATTGATACACCTTCAAGCAGAGGAGATGTTGCTAGTCCTGCAGCAATCAGATCCTGGACGATCCCACACATTACCACCGACCTAAGGAAGTGACAAATCCCCTACCCTGCTACAGCAAGGAAAGCAGAGTTATTCAAACTCCTCCATACATCAACGGACAACACGGAGGCAGGGGAAGGCCCAGCTACATCAACTCAGGTGACACCCAGGCTATGCTAGCCTCACTCATAAACTCATGAGCCAAAAAATTTTATGACAGACTGGCAATCTCGAGTTGGTCACCACAGCCCTCACAAGGCTGGGCCTCACGTTACTGTACAACCAGCACCAACCGAAACTCGGTTACCTGGTACAATCAATTCTTATGACACACAAGATGTTAACCCTGCACGTATGATCCCAGCACATTGGGGAAGCAAGGCATATATATGTGTGATGATGTATCTGTGATGGTCAGATTCAGGGATTCCAGGTAAATCGGGAACTGACCATCTCTTGGATGGGTTGGTATTTGGAATATGTCCCAAACAAATGGACGAGCACTCTCAGGCTCCAGGTACCAGCACCTCTGAACTACCAGAGACGATTGATATGAGTAGTTGCATTGCATATAGACTGTTGCATATATGTTCAAATGGTTCAGGGCACATGACAAACCATGTGGCCCAATACAACTTACAAATAACGTACTCACCATCTGTACACACCAATGCATTTTCAACACTACTGACTCATCACCCTTCCAGACTTGTAGTAGATTTACTAAAGCTCTGGAGCTTCAAAGGGCTCCCATACAGGTATCATAAACACACCTTCAAGGAATATAGCATGCCCTCACTTACAGTCAGCACAACAAAACCATTGGCTGAAAACACACTCATAGCCAAGATTTGCAGAGTGGTCTTCCAATCTCCACCATTTACAGCATGGCACCAAACACACACATTGGTATTGTCACAAGGAATCTTCCCTTAAACAAAGACTAACCATAGACTTATTGGCACCACACACCTCCGCTACCCCAAGTCTCAACTCCCTTCTTACTATACAACACCATTGATCTACCTTTACAGCTATCACTCAAGCATGGGTTAAAGCTTGGTTAAGTAAGACCAATATCATCAACGCAGTAAACAGCTACCATCTACCCTACACACTGGCACTTACATGGCATAAATTGGGCAATCCTTTCCCTGCTCAACTTTCGAGCTACAGATTAACCTACTATCGATATTCGCAGATACTCTGTGCTGGTTATGATAACATATCCAGAGGCATTACAGTCATACACTATCTAGAAGACTTCTTGTTGCTCAAAGAAAGCATATTTTTCACTAGAAGCCTCATGGCAGCTTAGTCTGGTTGACCACTTGGGCGTCCCAGTACCCCATAAGAAACAGAAGGCGCAGACACTATCATCACATTACTGGGCATATGACTTGAGTCGGCATCCATACACGCAAGTTACCACAAGACAAATAGGGAACATTCTCAACTAAATCAATCACTACCTCCTGCTTAGTACTTACAACTACAAGGAACTACAATCCCTACCAGGTTCCTTAATTTTGCCATGCCAATCATACCACAAGACCACGCTTTCACATCCAGAGTACTTTCCCCTTTTTTCCACACTTCCAACATGACGATCAGAGGAGGTGCCTAGACACCTCAGCAACAGCAGACCTGCACATGGGGGGGGATTTCTTAACCACTTGGCATGGTAAAAGCATGTTCCTTCCAGGATTGTCTGACACTTCTCCAACCAGATGGTCAGACGCAGCGTATACCACGGGTTTGGCAGCGATCTACCGGGAACAATTGCTTTGGGGCTGTTGGCCATGGCATCCAGGTTTGGAAATTTTTCCACCACTTCAGCCCCTTTGGGAGATCTACCCCATTGTAGCAGCTGCTGTGGCATGGGGTAAATCATGGTCAGGGTCATCAATCCGTTGTTACTCAGACAACTAAGCACATATCATATCATCAACAAACGCCACTACTCATCCATAAGGTCATGATGTTTCTGGGGAACTCACTTGGTTGGCCACTTATCACATTTCACTTTCATGTACCAGACGGGGGTATACATCCCTGCCGACAACTGTCTCATTTATATTCCAGGCATGTTCATCATACGCTTCCTACAGCCGCCCATACAGTCACGTCCACTCTTTCATTCCAGAGACAATATCATGGATTATACATACTCATGCAGCATAGCATGCACTATCCCACCTAGAACTTTCGTCCCATACTTGTAGAACGCATAACACAGCTTTTCACCTGGCTTAAAGAATCTCATTGGAACACGACATAGCTCAACCTGTGTCACAAAATTTCTCCTAAGTTTTGCTTATTTTTGCCACCTTAAACTTAAACTATCTCATACACCATTAATTATATATTTTACAGGCATTCAACAACACATGATAACCTATGGCCAAAACTACCATAAACTTCATGCTATCATACCAGAAAAGAATATACTCAGAGGTTTTCAGGAATCCATTCCCCCACGTTCCTCTCAGAGATTACCAATAGCCATCCAACTGTTCATCCTTATCGGACCTATTAGATCTACAACCATTCAATTATACTACCAAGTCGGCCATTACCAGCCATGCACATTGCCTTTTATGCCTTTCTCAGGCCAGAGAATCCACTACCATCACCACCACTCAGACAGATCATTGTCTTCAACGATCCCACGTACGTAAACACATATATCATTACCTATTGGCTCTACCACATTCCGAAATGAGTCAACATGCACCAACAGTAGAGATAACATACTATCCTACCCACAACAAATGGTGCCCACTTTCGGTCCTAGATTCCTACCTTCAAAATCCTTTCAGGAATTAAATACTGTAATGCATTTAAGGAAATGTCTGGTTAATTTGTATATATTTGTTGACTGTATTAAATCTTTGATTATTCATTTTTGCCCTCTTTATTTACAGGCCTACCGTATCGTCGGTATCGGCACACCACAACCGACTTGCTCCCTTTACACTATCCTAAGCTTATGCTGGATCCTTACTCCATATACGGCTATTTTGCCCCTTACACAAGTATTAAGGCAGTTTTGCCTGTATTTGTGGGAGGGGCTTAAATTAATTCACTCCCCTATATAAGGGACACCCCTTACCTGACTCATATCGCTTGAGGTCAGCATCAGAATGACCCTCCCACCCACTCCTCATTTCAACACTTTCTCTTTTCTTTCCATTTACTTTACTTACTCCTTGGTGGGCCCTCTTTATTTACAGGCATATATATAAATAAGAGTCAGTGTGTAATGGAGTGGAGCATGTTTATATGTATGCATGTGTGTGGACGTGAGGGTATGTGGGTGAAGAGATGATGTTTGTGAGGGGTGCGGTGCGCAAGGCGACTAGGAAGCAGTGCCTATGGTCAGTGGCATACTAAGGGGGGGCGGCGGGGACGGTCCGCCCTGGGTGCCACTCACTAGGGGTTGCCGGGGTGAACTTTCACAGGGGCGGCATTCCCATCCAGCAGCAGCAGCAGGTCCTCTGTTCTCGCGGATCGCGAGAACAGAGGACCTGCTGCTGCTGGATGGGAAACGAGGATGGAGAGTTCTGGGCCCCTCTTCACTGCCCATCTATGCGGTGCCACTGGACCACCAGTCGAGGAGGACGGGACGGGCAGGTAAGTGGCAGCACTTATTTCACACAACATACACACTGCATCTGCATACACTATACACACACTGCACACACTATATGCACACTATACACACACTGCATACACACTGCATCTGCATACACTATACACACACTGCATACATTATACACACACTGCACACACTACGCACACACTGCATACACTATACACACACTGCATCTGCATACACTATACACACACTGCATACACACAGCACACTGCATACACTATACACACACTGCATAAACACTGCGCACTGCATACACTATACACACTGCATAAACACTGCGCACTGCATACACTATACACACACTGCATACATTATACACACTGCATACACTATACACACACTGCATCTGCACACACTATACACACACTGCACACACTACACACACACTGCATATACACTGCATCTGCATACACTATACACACACTGCATACACACAGCACACTGCATACACACTGCACACTGCATACACCATACACACACTGCATACATTATACACAAAACTGCACACTATACACACACTGCATACACTATACACACTGCATACACTATACACACACTGCATACACACTGCATCTGCACACACTATACATACACTGCACACACTATACACACATTGCAAATACACTGCATCTGCACACACTATACACACATTGCATATACACTGCATCTGCATACACTATACAACCACTGCACACACTAAACACACACTAAACACACACTATTCACACACTGCACACACTACATACACACTGCATCTGCACACACTATACACACACTGCATACACACTGCATCTGCACACACTATACACACACTGCACACTGCATACACTATACACACTGCACACACTATACACACACTGCATACACTATACACACACTGCACACACTATACACACACTGCATACACTATATGCACTATACACACACTGCACACTTTATGCACTATACACACACTGCATACACTATACATACACTGCACAGTGCATAAACTGCGCACACTGCATACACTACACACACTGCACAGTGCATACACTATTCACACACTTCATACACTACACAGACTGCATCCACTATACAAGCGCACACACTGCATTCACTACGCAAACACACACTTATACATGTGTATCTGTATGTCTGTGTTTGTTTCGGTGTGTCTGTGTATCTGTATGTATGTTTCTATCTGTATGTGTGCCTGTGTCTCTCTCTGTATGTATGTTTGTATCTGTATGTGTGTCTGTATCTGTGTATGACTGTGTTTCTATATAACTGCATGTGTGTACCTGTGTGTCTGTGTATCTGTATGTGTGCCAGTGTGTGTATATGTGAGTATATGTACATACATCTCAGCATTTTGTCTACACTACACACAAATACAACCCTGCATCCAAATGTCAACACTACATAAAAAGACACCACCATATTCAAAAACCACACTACATAAAAATGCACGCCTGAATTCAAATGCCAATACGTGCAAACACACCCGTACATTCACTCACACAAACTCCATACAAAAACATGCTCACATTAAAAATATACAAACACTGATCAGTGCCAAATACATTAAAAAAATGTGCAGTTGTTTTTTACATTTCAAAGTTGGGAGGTGGTGGTGCCAAATAAAGGATCCGCCCCGGGTGCCAAATGCTCCAGGTAAGACCCTGCCTATGGTACTAAAGGCGACTAGGAAGCAGCGATTGGCAGAGGCACCCACCGTAGCCCGCCACAGCTTGGCTGGGGTCTCACCGTCCCTTCCCACCCTGGACCAACTCCTGGATCCAGCTCCCAGTGGGAAGGCCTCTCATCCAAGAGAGCATAGCTATGAAGCTCTTACAAGAGCTAGTGGTTATAGCAATCCAAAGAAAAATCCCAAGAGCAGGGATTATAGCTGGTATAGCTGTTCCCTACAATCACTAGACATGGCTGCGTGTTGAGGGTGAAGAGAACTGATTTGAATGGTGCCACACTTGACCTTTTATGACAATCTCCATGCAAGGGGCACTCCATTCCTTATTGGAGACTGATTTACAAAGTCACAGACCAACAATAACAGTGTTTAAACATATGACACTCCCATATACAAATATGCAATCCCTCCTCTCTGCCTGGGAGATAATTGAGTCAGATACTGTATTAACTCAGTTATCACCAGGCAGAGGCAAAAAACCCACATATTTTATAAAAACCCAAAAGTACCGCAAAAACACATAAGATCCCTGGAAAATGTTACATCCCCTGATAGCCCTGATCTTGGTGACCAACATATCCAAAAATCACTCAGATC